TGCTTATCCAAACACTGAGTTGTCGCCACGGCCTCAAAACCTCTAAAGAAATATAAACACTGAGCATAAGCAATGTGATTTTTTGGAAGGCTTACATATCGAAAATTGAATCCAGCGAAGAGAAGAATAGAATTCTTGATGTCTTGAAGAATACCATATATTTCTTTGATTGCGTGCGAGGATTGGATGACTCCAACTAAGGTCTGAGAATCGACATAAGACATATCTTGGTGATACCTCGTTCGTGAGCCTTGCCAAGGGCTAATCTCATTGCAAGGACATCGGCCATTAAAGGTGAATTGACAAAAGGTTCCGCTTTGGCCTTTTGTCGATAACACAAGTGTTATTTAGCGCTGTTTTTTGAAGGATCCAGCCCAGGCCTGACACACGATTGTCCTCTTGTCATTCGCCATCTGAGAAGTGTAGGATCGTATCAGGGGAAAACTCTAGCCAATTAGGAGTTCCATTGATTGTGACTCCATTTTTCTCTCCACTTGTGCAAGTTGCCATTCTCTGGCATCTCTAAGAGCTTTCGTAACTATTTCACCCTATGACATTCTCCTGGTTTCAAATATGTTTTTGTTTCGGGTGGTCCACATGACCTAAAATACCCAGGGGAATAACGTTCCATGTCCTAAGAATGTTGGAGGGAGACATACCAGCTTATTGCCGATATTGAGCCTTGTTTTGATGTTGTAATCTGCAGCGGGTCGAGTGGCTTCATGAATGGTACTAGTGAGCAAACCATTTTTGCAAAAAGACAGTGAAACAGTAAGTGGGTTGTGGTTTCCCCTTCTCCGCAATAGACGCATACAATAGCTATTGAGATGCCGCGATTACTCAAATTTTCTCCCATAGCAATGGCTTCAAAGGAAAAGTTTCAGTTTTGGTGGGAACATCCCCTTCCAAATACCATTCGTCCAGTCTAGGAGGTGGTGATTCCCTTAGAGGCTTGATTTTGATTTTGATACTTTTTACAGTTTTTCATGTGTTTAATATATTGTAAATAAAAAAATTTGATCATTGTAACGCTTACATGAGATAATTAATGCAAATCTATAATATTCGAATATATAATTTTATTTATAACGGAGGAGGGTACATATTGTATTGATAATTAATTAGTATTCAATAGTATTGAAGATAGTATTGATAATCTATGAAGTCCATCTACCTTGCAACAACAAAAATAACTTGAATCGATCAAAACAATTGGAAAAAAATGTAGATTAAATCATTGGTAAATGATTTTTTAACTATGATTCTTAACAAACAAAACTGAAACATTAGAGAAAAAAATACAATTGAAGTCTTTTATATCGATGATTCAATTTGAAGAATACAACTCAAAAAATTTATGAGTAACTATTATCATCGATTTTTCAAAATTTTATTATTATTTTTTGGGTATATCACCAAAGTTTAATATACTCAACTTCATCTAACTAATTTACATAAAAAATATTTGTAATACATCGTGACAAATGAAAACTCACTTTGGTTGATCTAATGTTGTAAACCTCCAAATGGTGTTCTTGATAACACATGTTTT